GCAATCTTCCACCTATTAAAATCAGGAACGAACACTGGGATTGTCTTAGAAGGAAATAGAGAATTATAGCCCTGGGTTCTGTCAGAGAGGGAGGAGTTAGCTAGGATTTCCTCATTGAAGACGGAGAGTCAGTCCCTCTCGCTCAGAGAAGGAAGTTGGGCGTTAAAGTAGAGTTAAAAAACCCTACGCGAGGGCATAGGATGGGCATGGAGTAGACAGGGCGAGGGAACTGCATCCGGAGGGAGTGGTTAGGCATGGGAGGCATGGGACGTCAGGAACAAAGGAGGGAAAAGGAGTTAGACGTGGATGGGACAAGTGGGGGAAGGGGAGTCAGCGGGAAGGCTTAGTCATAAAGGGCGGAGACAGACAGGAGGATTACGTCACAAAGGGCGCAGACAGATAGGAAGATGACGTCATGAGTGACGTGGACAGATAGAAGGGTTACGTTACAAGTGGCTTAGACAAGTAGAAGGAACGCGTCAGAAGACAGGCAGTCGTGACGTAGACAGGCAGGTGAATGACGTCACGCAAGTAGACAATAGTGACGTAGACAGCCGGCGTGATTACGTCACGGACGGCTTGGACAGGCAGCTGTTCGTCAGGCGATCCGGAGGCCCCACCGTCTCTCCGAAAGCGAGACTCGGGCCGCCCGCAGACGCGAAATACCGCCGCCATTCATCCCTGCTCATGGATTTTTCCCTCCTTAAGAAATTCGCGATAATAAGATCTCGCGGAGGGGAAGCAGAAGCTGCAGAGAACTAGATGACGACTCGTGAGGGGCGAGGAGGTGCAGCTACTCCCAGGGGCAGAGCCGGTAGCCAGGGAAAATTAGGCGGAGTGATAGGTAGGGGGTTGAGGGAGGGGGGGCGGGGGAGGGCGTGAAGGGCTTAATTAGGAAATAGGTCGCAGAAGGAGGGCTTTCTGTGGGTAGGATTGCAGGACACGGAGCCCTGGCAAGAAGGGTCGAGGCACAGCGGGGCCACCACCGCCATGGCTCGGCTTCAAGAATCAATACCCAAACCAGAAGCTGGCTGAGGTCCTGCCCCCCCCCTCCCCTCCACTCTCTCCTCCACTCCTCCCCTCCCCTCCCTCTCTCCCTTCTCCGAGCCCCACTCTCGCCCCTCCCTTTCTCGTTTCTGTCTTACTGTTTGCCGTCGCTGTTTGCCTTCTTCTTCACCCCCCCCCAGCCCTCCCCCTTCGAAATGCCCCGAGGCCTTTCTCGCACTCGCCTCTGCACTGTCTCTCACCATCTGCTTCATTTTCCTTGTTTTATCCACTTCCTTCCTATCTCTCTATCGCCCACTATGCTCTTTCCTCCATTCTCGCCATTCTTTCCTTATCTCTGTTTATTCACCTATTAGTATCCAACCCCTTCCCTCCCCCTCCTTCCTCCCCCCCCCACCACCAAAACTCCCCCAAAGTTGTTGTTTTTTCTCTCTCCTCATTTTCCTAGCTCTTATCTCCAGTGAGGATATAAACAAAGAGGGGGAAAACGTCTTTATTATTCCCCTCATCCCCTCGAACTCCCCTCTCCCTCGTGTTCCTTGCATGGAGGTTCTTTATCGCTGTCTGTAGGAGAGGTAGTTCCCTCGTCGTCGTTGGCCTCACGTAATCGCTCTTCTACTTCTTCTGTTTGCGCTTTATCCATTATCCTTATTCCCCTTTCTTTCCCTTCCTTTTAGTCCTTTCCCCTATTATCTTTTCCTATATGTATCCTTCCCTCCTTCTTTCCTTCCTTCTTCTTCGCCTCCGAAGCATCCTCCTCCCAGTCCTCCTCCTTACTCTTCCTCCTCGACCTTTTTCTCCTCCTCCTGCTCCTCTGATTCTCCTCTTCCTCGTCCATCTCCTTCTTCTTCTTCTTCTCCTTATCCTCCTGCTTCTCCTACTTCTTCACCTTCTCCTCTTCCCTCCTCCCTCCTCCCTCCTCCTCCTCCTCCTCCCTCTCTTCCTCCTCCTCCTCCTCCTTCTCATCCTCCCTCTCTTCCTCCTACTACTACTTCTCATTATCCTCTTCCTCCTTATCATCCTCATCCTCAACTTCCTCCTCTCCTTCTCCTTCTTAATCCATTTTTTCCTTCCGCTTTGAACTTTTCCTCGTCCTCCGTTTTTCCTTTTCTTTCTCCACCTTCTCCTCCACTTTCTCCTCCTCCTCCTCCTTATCTGTACCCACCTTCTCCACCACCTGCTTTTCGCCTTTCTTCTCCACCCTTTCCCTCTTTCGTCTCCTATCCTGTCCCTCTTCCCCGTCTTCTTCCTTCTTTTGCCCCTAGAGTCTCTGTCTCTCTCCCTCCTCTCTTCCTCCTCCTCCTCCCAGACCCTTCTTCTTCTCCACCACTTTCCCCTCTTTCGTCTCCTATCCCTGTCCTCTTCCCGTCCTCTTCCTTCTTTGCCCCTAGTCTCTCTGTCTCTCTCTCCTCTCTGTTCTCTTCCTCCTCTCCTCCTTTCTACCCTTCCTCTCCTCCTCCTACTCTCCTCTCCTCCTCCTACTACTACAACAGCAACTCCACCGCAAGTTACAGTTCCACCTCCATCTTCTACAAATCCACCTCCACCATCACCTCCTTCTAAAATAGTTCCACTTCCACCTCCACCAACCTCTTCCTATAAACCTCAACCACCACCTCCACTAAACACACTTCCACCTCTATCTTCCTTTCCTCTCCCTCTTCTCCCATCTCCCTCCTTTCTTCCACATCTACCCATCTTCTTAAAATTTCACCTACACCTCTTTCCATAAACCACCACTTCCACCTCTCCTCTTCCTCTCCTCTTCCTCTTCTCCTTCCTCCCTCCCTTCCTTCACATCTCCCTTCTCCTTCTCCTTTACCCACCCACCCCACCCCCATCCTCCCACCCCTCTCTCTAGCTTAGGCCTATACGCGTAAACCCAATAGGGACTGGTTTATATATGTGGGCCCTGAATGACCCTTTCTTCCCACGTGTAGCTTGTGTCTTTTAAATTTAAAAAAAAAACACCACTAATGTCTTGGTCGGTGTACTAAAGCTTTCTATTTTTTTTGTTTTTTTTCTTAGGATGTGCATGTTGTCTTAACATGAACCCACGATGATATAACATATTTACAGATTCTGATAGCCACTGCAGACAGCAAAATTAGACTTCTTAAACATGATTTTTTTTCTCTCTGTGTGTGTGATATACAGACAACACCCACACTGTTTTCTTCCTTTTTTTTTTCTTCTTTTTTTTTTTTTTTTTTGTTACTTTGATTTAAGGAATATGTGTGTGACTTTCTATATGCGTTTGTATGTGTGTCGTCTGTTACTCTGGATATTTAGCTGTACCTTGTGTATCTTACGGCAATACAGATATGTTGCATATATGTTGCAGAATCCTTGCATATACTCTACAACATACGGAAATTATATATCTCACACGACATATATGTTGCAATAGATATGGCATTGCTGTCAAGTGTAAACTACCTGTGTTGTTGTTGTTATTTTTCCTGCATGCTTCTCTGCACACTAACTCTGTCGTGTTGCAGTATGATTTGCTAGTCCCTACGACAGTAGTGTGAGAGAGAAAGAGAGTGAGAGAGAGTGTGTGTGTGTGCGTGTGTGTGTGTGTGTGTGTGTGTGTGTGTGTGTGTGTGTGTGTGTGTGTGTTAACGGCTCTTACTTATCATAATCTTGTTTGAATGCCAGTCCTATCAGTGGGTCTGCTACATCGACTCAAGGTGTAGTCTCATGCTAATATAGATTCGGTCCATGAGTAGAGGTAATGTATCTCATAATGAAGGATTGCTGTTACATAGGTTTTGCTTAAAATTATGAGGTTATAGACGTGGTTTCTGCTTCACATAACAAATCTCATTGTGAGAGCCAAAAGGTGTATGGGTCTGTGCGCGGATGTGTATGTGTGCATGCGTGTGTCTGTGTGTGTGCTTGCGTGTGTATGTACGTGCGTTTGGCCATACTCTCACGCAGGTACGTTAGGCCTTCCTGTCGGCGGACCTCGCTCGTGCAGGAATGCTCGGCCGTGCAGCACGTGTAGCCATGACCGTGCACGGGCCTGGCCTTCCTGCACGCCCGCGCTCCGCTGTGAGACAGACCCAAAACCCACATTTTAGTCTAGACCAAATAGCCTAGAGTTACTTAATAGCGAACAGAGAGTATTAGCATGCGAAACAAATTCTTAGATTCTTAGAGAGCAAGTGTTAGAATGTGTTATACAGTTAATTAGTAGTGTTTTAGACACTGTAGACTTTAGTATAGATTACTGTATGGTCCATTTTGGCGTGTCAGGTCTCCACAGGGGCAAAAACCCCTACTTTGTTTAAGAAATTCTAATAATCAAACTAGAAGATCAATCGACTGTTGGTCCACATTGGATGTAGAAAGATTCCATGTTTGTCTGTCTCTAGTGATTGCTGAACAGAACTGATATCTCCTCTTCTCAGTGTCTATGTGGATGTGTTCGTCAGCTTTCCTTTTCACTGCCTCTATGTAGACGTGTGTGCGGGCGTGTCAGCCGCTTCTCTCTCTGAGGCGGCGCGGCGTCAGCGCCCGAGGCGGAGTCCGCTGTCGGGTACCGGAGCCCCCTGGGGGCGCTGGTACTCGACGCCGGGGGCCGCCCGCCCGCCCGCCCGCCCGCCCGCAGAACTCATCCACATTGTTAATGTACCGCACCCGCCTACGCTCGAGCACTGGCTTCCATCACTGCTTCCAAAATTTTGACACCTAATGTAGCTAAGTTTAGATGGCCAAGACGCCTGAAGAGGGGGCGGTCCCTTCTGAATACCCCCTGCGGGTGCAGGAGGGCGACGCCCCTCCCGTGCGGATATTAGAGGAACTGGCCGCGTGTTGCCTCGTGACGCAGGCGAGCCACGTGGCCGGAGTGCTGACGTAGGAGCGGTAGAAGAGATCAGTGTTTGAGCCGCAGGTTGTCGTGTCCCCAGCAAGCAGTAGGATCTGTGGGGCTGATGTGGGCGGAGCCACGCCCACACTGGCCTCATGGTGGCGCTGTCTTCTTCTTGCAGGCGAGTCTTAGCCTCCCTGGCTCACCTTATAACATGCGAAAAGGGTCCCGGGATAGCCACCAATTCACCTGGCGGATCGCTAACGGCCGGCGCTTTGGCGACAAGAAGCCTCTGGTGCTGTCCACGTACCTGGACGCACAGGAGCACCTGCCATACGCCGACGACTCCGCCGCGGTCACACCCATGAGCGAGGAAAACGGTGCCATCATCGTGCCTGTGTATACAACCCTGGGCTCCCGCCACAACTCCTACACTTCCCACACGTCCCGTATATCCTACACCTCCCACGGGGATCTAATCAACGGCAAGCCGCCCACCAAAGAGTCTCAGCTCCTGAACAGGATGGCCTCCCACGTCCCAGAGGTCATTATTAATATATATATATTTTTAGTCCCAAGTGTGTGAGTAGATGGTCGTCCTCCTCCCCCCCCCCTCCCCCTCGCCCCTCATGCTCATGCTCCGTCTCCCTTCCTCCCTTCTCCCTCATCTCCCGCCGACTCGTCCTCAGCCCATTCGAAGCCTCGATGGACCTCAAGTTTGGTGTGAGTGTCTCCATTTTCGCTCCCTTCGCCCCCCGCCCCCCCTCCCTTCCCTCATCCCTACTGCTAAGTGTAGGTCGGCCCTTCGTCCCTCCTCCAGTAGGCCTATCACAACGTGGGTTCCCATATCCGCACAGCCGGGTTAACCATCATTCCTCTTATTTTATTTTTCTACGACGTATATATATATATATATAAATTTTCTTCCTTTTTTCCTTCCTCCAGCACGCTTATCTCTCACCTCGTTTATTTTTTTCGATTCTCTTTTATTTTCTCTCTCTTCACCTCCGCACCATATAAACCTTGACTCAGGCGTCACCGCTTTGTCTCACGTTCCATCTTCTACAGAGCATGAGTGACAGTTTCTCCCATTAAGTATGGAATCACAAGACAAAAAAAAGTCACCCTGTGCGAGCCAATGGACCAAACAGCCACTTTCTATTCTCAGGCTAATACTAGACATGGTACAGACGCTTTAGGCCAGACACACACACGCGCGTGCATCTAGGAACACGAGAGAAGCAGCTAAGTATGTGCTAGAGGCAGCTGGATAAAGGAAACATTAGAGAGAACAGGTAAATATTTGACAGAAGCAACAGCCAGGGAATGGTAGGGAAACCCGTATACATAAACAATAATTACAAACAATAGACATATACAGTGAACAACAGTGAACAGAACACATTTCGAAAGAACGAAAAAAAACACACACACAGTGTTCTCAAAAACAAAAGTACAAATACAAACAAATCTACCGGACAGGTTTACCAATAAGTTTTACGAACCATAGACGAACAGGGTTTAGAAAACAACAGGAATAATACATCTGAGAGAGAGAGAAAGATATGTGATGACAAGGCACCTCAAAGCAGGGTAAGATAAATATGTATAAATACACACATGTACGTATATACATATAGCTATATATATGTGCATCCCTATGTATGTGTATATATATACATATAGATATGTGTACATGGGCAGCAACACCAGTCACCAGACACCTCAAGACAGGGATTGCAGGGATTCCACACCTCAGAGCAGGCTCCACATCAACACCAGAATTGACAGTGCCTAGATCTCTGAGACAGACAGTTCGGTTTTCAATTCAAGCGACTTTAGAGAGATAACTAAAAAAAAAAAAAAAAAATCTAGTGCCTCATTCCCGTTGTTAAAGCCTCCTTTTGTAACTTCCCGTAGCTGGACAATAAGCATATGCTGCAGATGCTACCGCTCAGACTGGAGGGCGAAGCATTGACAAAGAAGGATGACGAAGTTATTGATAACATCATTCGGGAAATATTTGGCCCTGATATCAACCTAGAATATATCGACAAAGATGCAGTAAGTAGGAGTACCGGATTATTTATTTTACAATTAGTTATCATTATTATATTATATTTTTATTCTTTTTTTTTTTTCTTACAAAACAAAAAAGGGAAATTCTTATGTGTTATGATACATTCTTTTTTTTTTTTCTTAAAGAGAAGTATGTTCTAAAAGTAAACATTAAAACAGCTGATCCTTCTGGAAATGAGAAGTCTGTGTCCCTCTTAATTTAATTGTCCTTCTTAAGCTTTTAAAAAAAAAGATGTTCTGTTTATTTCTAGCACTCATTTAATAAACGGTATTTTCCCATGATATAAAACTTAGATTAAAAAAAAACAGAGGGCACTTAATTAAAACCCCAAAATACGATTTAAACAGATAAGTTCATATATAAAAAAAAACTAGATTATATCTCCATATATACTTATATAGCTTTTAGAAGAGGAAGAAGAAGAAGCACAAAAAAAATATATATAAAAAGTAAATCAATCTATATATATATAACATTTCTAGATCAAATCGACACGGGACTTTATTAGACTAAGTCACCAAATTTTTCTCCCTCTGCTAGTCGGTTCAAGGCACACCTCTAGGAAGGTCCAAAGAGAATGTGGTTGTAAGTGTTTTTTTTCCCCTCTGCGTGTTCAAAGGCCCTGTCACTGTCATTTGTATGTGATTTTGGCTCAGCAGAATGTTGGAGCACCTTTCCTTCGACACACTTCCCTCCCCTCTGCATTCCCCTTCCTCCTCCTCCTCCTCCTCCTCCTTTCCTTCTCTTCTTCGTCTTTAGCCTTCTCCCTCTCTTCCTTCTTCTCCTTCTCTTCGTCTTTAGCCTTCTCCCTCTCTTCGTCCTCCTCCTCCTTCTCTCTCTTCTCCTCTCTTCTCTTCTCCTCTCTTCCTCCTTCTCCTTCTCTTCCTCCTCCTCTTCGTCTTTATCCTTCTCCCTCTCTTCCTTCTTCTCTTCCTTCTCATTCTCATTTTCTTCTTCCTCTTCTCTCTCTTCTTCTTCCTTCTTTTCCTCTCTTCTTCTCTTTTCTTTCTTTTCTTCTCCCTTCTTCTTTTCTCCTCCTCTTTTTTCTTCTTCTTTTTCCCTTTTATTCCTAATTCTCCTTCTACTCAAGTTGCCTCTTTATCTCTCTATCTCTCAGTGTCATTTTCTATCAGCCTGTATGTAGATATATTCATTTCTTTCTCTCTCTCTCTCTCTCTCTCTCTCTCTCTCTCTCTCTCTCTCTCTCTCTCTCTCTCTC